CTCTCTCCCTCTGGAGCTAGAAAGCAACCCCTTTCTGTTTCGTCCCTTCCCCCTGAACCCCGGGGCGCTTGGGACGCGCGACCCTCTCTCGGAAGAGGGCAGGGAAGGGGCGCGATTTGGGAGCGGGGAGGAGGGCATCTGCAGAAAGGACACAGCTGCAGATCGGTAGCTGGAGTCCGCTACGGTAAAATAAGCGCCTTGCAGATGTCTGAGCCCTAGCTATGTTAGTCCTGGGAGGCAGAATCCACGCCCTGCACGGGTGGGCCCGGGCACGCCTGTGAACTTTGCTGTCAGTTACCATCGTTTTTCCAGATCCTTCGGTGTTCAGAAAATGAGTCTCTAGATGCCAGCTCTTTCTCATCCTGGTGCCTGGACCCAATTGGACCCAGGAGCCCATCTGTCCACCCTTGGGAACCCTCTTTCTTCTCTAACCGTGGGGCTTGGGGACCTGTCGGGTGCAAAGTGCCAGTCAAGTGTATGGGAGGGAGTGTAGAGCCCTCCCCCCTTTAGATCCAGAGGAATAACTGGGAAGGAGGACGAAAAGCCAGAGAATCCCATCATGGAATTCTGCTCACATGCTGTGTCTGTCGCTCCAGCATCTGGAAGGACTAAATAATGGTTTCTTTTGAAATGGCAGGCAATTAGGACTGGGAGGCTCTGACCAGAATTACATAGCCACAACTGCCTGTCATTTGACATCCTCTGTAATTTGGGCAACATACTGCAGCTGCCTCTCTTCCCTTTTACTAGCGTGAGTGGCTCCCGTGACAGCACATTCGTGTTCACAGGAAGAGAAGGCTGTGTTCTGAACGCTGCCCAATTGGCACTGGTTCTCTCTTGGGGCCCGGCTGTATCTGGAGCCACTGCCTCTCCAGCGAGGTGGGGAATATAATTCCACAGCTAAGGAAGGAGTGGGAATGTTGCCTGAGAACAGGGATGAAGAGAGTTGTAGATCTAGCCTTGTGTTCATACTACAGCAGGCTGGATAGGAGCCACTTACAGGGAGCCCAGCTTAGTAAGGTGCTCTCTCTGCTTGTCATAGCTTTTCTCCTGCATGTCGGACCACACACATTTTCTTGCATCTTTTTCCCTAGGATAAAGGCTCACTGATGGCTCAGTTGGGAGCAGTTGTGGCTGTGGCTTCCAGTTTCTTTTGTGCGTCTCTTTTCTCAGCTGTGCACAAGATAGAAGAGGGACATATTGGGGTGTATTACAGGTAAGGAAGGGACAGGGAGAAGCTTGCAACTTCCTGTTAAATGACTTTCTTTCCTACTCACTGTCTAGCAGATTCTGTTGAATATCTGTGTACATTGAGTAGAGGAATCTTTTAGACTGAGCTGTTGTGTCAGTGACCAGGGGAGGGGGGCATATACACACATGCTTATATACATACATAAATGTAAATATGAAACTTAGTAGTCTCAAGTTGATGCTGTGGACGGTGAATGATAAATGTGTATAGAGGTTTAGAGTTAAAATCCACAGGAAACCAGTGCTTGCAGGTTATCTCTGAAACCTCGTTTTCTCATATCCCCCTCCCGGCATCTTGGTGCCACAAGCTTACCTCCGATGAGCACCAGTTCTTGATGGCAACTTGAGCTAGCCTGATCTGCCAGTTTGTACCCACTCTTTAAAATTAACGTTTCAGGCAAAATGAGAAATCCTGCAGATTGATACATAACCATTCAGGCAAGCGCTAGGATAGTGGTTCTTACAAGAAAGCTCCATTGGGTAGCTGTTTTATTGCTCTTTTTAAAAAATATAATAATGTATTTTTTTCCTGCATAATATAAAGCAAAGAAGCACTTACAAATCTTGGATTGCTTTCCTTTCAGTAACCTCCATGACCAACCAGGTTTTTTGCTTTAAGTCTTTATGAGCTCCTTCTTATATATGCTCAAGATGCCTATTCCTGGATTGCTGATAGCAAGTTCTAAAAGTCTCCTTGGGATCCACTCTCCCCTTTATTTCTCCCCACCTTCTGCTTATGTGTCCCCAAAAAAAGGCTTTTAACTTTGTTACCCTTTACGTACAACTTGGTTATAAAGTAATGCTACCACCTGAAAAATATTTGTAAATGATTTTTAACAATTTTTTAAACATTTTTATTTATTTTTGAGAGATAGAGACAGAGTGTGGTGGGGGGTGTGTGGGGCAGGGGCAGAGAGAGAGAGAGAGAGAGAGAGAGAGAGAGACACAGAATCCAAAGCAGGCTCCAGGCTCTGAGCTGTCAGCACAGAGCCCAACACGGCTCAAACTCACGAACCGTGACATCATGACCTGAGCCAAAGTCGGATGCTTAACCGACAGAGCCACCCGGGCGCCCCTTGTTTGTAAATGATTTTTAAAGCATTTCTTAAAATTATTCTTTTGATTGTTCATGTCACTGGGATCCAGCATCAGTGCAGTTAATTGATAAATGTGTTACTGGACTTAACTGCCCTCCTGGATTGCCACAAGCTCAACGGATATGACAGAGTTCCTCTTACGTTAAGTATTGCCAGGGATTCTGCCATCTTTATTCCACTTGGCCCATGTGCCTATTTTTCTTGCCACAAAAGCATAAATAATGGTTTTATGTTTTACCATCAGACTTCCTAGAATATTAGGGTCGAGTTGAGAGGAAGGGGTCTGTGGACATGGCTGAGGCACGTGGCACTCTATATGAAACGTTTATGGGGCCGGTGCAAATAGTATTGATGTAATAGATACCTCTTGCTAAACTGCCTCTCTCTTCTTCCTCTGCAGAGGCGGTGCCCTACTGACTTCTACCAGTGGCCCTGGTTTCCATCTCATGCTCCCTTTCATCACATCATATAAGTCTGTGCAGGTATACTTGGCTTATGGGGTATGTTTGGACCACTGCAGATTTGGGGTGTTGACAAACGCGTGATTGTAATTACTTACCATTAGGTCAGTATAATGCCTTTCCAAGGAATCTCATACACACACACACACACACACACACACACACACACACACACACAAACACGTACACACACATATATGTGTATACATATATACGTACACGTGTATGTATATATATGCACCTATTTATATACACATATGCATATATGCATGTATATGTGTACATATATATGTATATGTGTATGTATATATATCTAATGGAGAATGAGGCTCCATGAACCATGTACTCTAGAGCTTTATTTGGTTGTTGAAATAGCCGGATGGGGTCATTGCCTTGGCCCAGCAGCCCCAGCTGGGAATTATTTCTTCACTTCAAGGTAAAACCAAAGAAGAATATGTTCTGAATGTATAGAAGGAAAAGTAGGGTGCGTGTGTCTGTGTGTTTTAAATCACAGGCTACCAAGATAAATAGAAATAAAACATGGTAAATTTGCTGGTTCTTATTTTAAATTCATAGATGTGAACATAATTTGGTGGGGGGGCGGGGGGGGGGGAGTTGGACTCAGTGAAGGGAAATGACATCTAAGTAGAAGTAGGATTAGTTATGACAGATCTAAAAGCCTGGCTAAGTTAGACTAGCCATCTTTGAAGTATGTCCAGCTAAGAGGAATAAGATTTAAAGAATGACTTTAAAACTAACCCAGGAAAATATCCCAGGATACCTCCTCAGCATTCTCCCTGTACATCACTTCTGCAATTTCCTCTGCTCGATGGTTTCTAGAGTGCATTTGTGCACATGACCTCACGAGTCTTACAATAAGGCTGAGAATGGGCTGAGCCAAATAAAGAATCCGCTGTTTCAAGACTGGTAAAGGAAGAGACAGAGATAAACACAGGTCTTAGGACTCCTAATGCAGGGTCTTTTTTACTAAGTCATTACTAAGCTCATCTGTATGGTGATTCACTTACAGTGAAGGGGGGGGTAGGTACCTTTGTTTGGGTGTCACACCCTATAAGTAAGGAGGATTAGGTGAAACATTCATGTTTAACAAGAGCAAAGCTCATCCCAGATAACTTCAAGGACCAGGCCATTTGGGATTCTAAAATGAAGTTACTTTGCTTGTCACTGCCCATTTTACAGCATTTTATGTCTCCTCCATTTCTAGACCACACTGCAGACAGATGAGGTGAAGAACGTGCCTTGCGGGACTAGGTAAGGGCCCCGGGGTAAAGCAGTTACACCTGCAGCAACAGAAGGGGTGTCTGGCTGACTGCAGCAAGAGATAGTGAAAAGGGATGCATTCCTTCTTGGTAGTTTTACCAAGTTCCCCACCTCCTAGCTCCCTAGGCTCCAATTTGACTAGGTGGTGCAGTGCATCGGGGAAAATCATAGGAGGTAAACAGGTTTGGGAGAGCCTGGAATGCTGTGATAAGTTTGGACTTTTTCTGTTGCAAGTGAAGATCCACTAAAGGCCTTCAGCAGGCAAATGACCCGATACAAGAAGATAGGTTTCGCATAACCAGCTATGGAGAATGTTTTAAAGGTAGGGGGAGGGGCTCCTGGGTGGCTCAGTTGGTTAAGCGGCCGACTTTGGCTCAGGTCATGATCTTACAGTTCGTGAGTTCAAGCCCCACATCAGGCTCTGTGCTGACAGCTCAGCGCCTGGAGCCTGCTTCGGATTCTGTGTCTCCCTCTCTCTCTGCTCCTCCTCCGCTTGCGCTCTCCCTGTGTCAAAAATAAATAAACATCTAAAATAATAATAAAAAATAAATTAAAAGGTAGGGGGAGACCTCAGGGTCTGGTGATCCAAACAGAACACTGCTCTAGTGGTCCGCTTGGAAAGTAAAGGAGATCTAAACTGGACAGGGTGACAAACACCACCACGAGGAAACATGGGAGCAAATCCAGAATTAGGGCATCTCACGGGATAATGGGCCTGATCTCATCACAAGGAGGAGCTTTGGGTTGAAAAGGAGACTTAAAAGACATAAATGTGATGGATGGTGAGCCTTGATTAGAACCTGGTTCAAAAATACCAGCTATGAAAGACAGAGAAGGCCTGGATTCGTCAGCTCGGGCTGCTATAACACAGCACCACAGACTGGGTGGAAACTGGTGAAGCCTCTCTTCCTCGTTTGCATGTGGTGGCTTTGCTGTGTGCTCACACGGCCTTTCCTCTGCACATGCAGGGAGAAAGATGTTTGGTGGCTGCCTTTTTTCGTTTACCACTCTAATTGGGTGAGCGCCCCATCCCTAAGCCCTCATAACCTTAATTACCACCTGAAAGGCCATCTCTCAATACAGTCACCTGGGGGTTTTGGAGTTTACACTTAAGGCTTTTTGGAGGGCACACACTTCAGTCCGCAGCAGGATCGAGTGAGGAAATTGGAATAAGGACTAGGTATCAGAGGCTGTTAAGGAATTCTTGCTAATTTTCTTAGGTTTGGGGATGGAGTTAGGACTACATAGGAGAATGTCATTACTCCTAGGTGAGTGTTGCTTACTAAAGTTTGAAGGGGTAAAGAGTATCATGACTGCAACGTTAAAATGTTCAGCATAAAAAAGATCAATCAATAAGGTAAAATGTTAACAGTTGTTAAGTTTAGTGTTCGTGTATGGCCGTTAGTTGTACTATTCTTTTCACCGTTCCTGTATACCCAAAATTGTTTATAAAAACGAATATTTGCAGGGAAAGGGAAGGGCTGAACCAAAGTGAGGGTGGAGACCGTGAGAAATGGTGACCGGAAAATCCCACTGTGACCTTTAAGTTCTGAGAACACCTTGACTTTTCCCTGAAATTGATTGCTTCAGTCAAAAGGCATGGCAGATTCAAAAGATACAGACTATTCTTTTTCTTACTGGTACCCCCAAAAGTTTCATTTTTCTCCGTCTGGAGATATTTTTAGGAGGTGTGGTTTCTTGGGAGACTGTGTTCTTGCTCCAAACTTGGAAGATTCCTACTTGGAGATCCCTCCTGCCTTCTGACCTCCCGCGAACTCTTTCCTGCTGAGTCACACTTCTTACGCCATCACCCTGGGACTGCACTATGTTCCAGAGCCTACTGGTGACTTCTCTGTCCCTTCTTCCTCCAACAGTGGTGGTGTAATGATCTACTTTGACAGAATTGAAGTGGTGAACTTCTTGGTCCCAAACGCAGGTACGTTTTTCCAGTTTCCCTTCTCCACCGGCTTACTTTGCCCAGCATGTCCCCCCGCGTGCCCCCCCCCCCACCAGGATCTGCTGCAGCACCTCAGGCAGTGGTGGGGGGCGGGGGGGGGGGCTGCCTTTTCTTACCTTGCAATCCCACCCTCCCTCCCAGTGTATGACATAGTGAAGAACTACACTGCTGACTACGACAAGGCCCTCATCTTCAACAAGATCCACCACGAACTGAACCAGTTCTGCAGCGTGCATACGCTTCAGGAGGTCTACATCGAGCTCTTTGGTAAGGAAGCCTCTTCTGGCCATGGCATGCCTTGGCAGCTGTTCCCCCCACCACCGACTTCCGAGCCACCGTAGGGCAGGATGGGTACGGGTGGACAGGAAGTGCAAGCCCAGTGCTCAGGAACCGGTCTGTGCTGATAGCAGCAGAAGGTCAAGAAGGCAGGTGAAGTTTGGGCACATGGATGACAGTGGACTGGAGGCCTCCTGGTCCACATCAGGGCTGGAATGGCAGTCGTAAAACACCTGCTGTCCCTAAAACACCCTTCTATAATAAGACAGGGTCAGTTCTCAAGAACCTGAGAGAGTATCCAACCCAGCAGCCTCATTTTCAGATAAGGGTACTGAGTGAGGCCCAAAGAGACAAATGGCAGGGCTGAAGCTAGAACTCTCGCTTCACCTTGCTTCCCACCACACCACGCCGAATGCAGGGAAGCCAGGAAAGGCGAGGAGGACGACAGGAGTCGCATTTAATTCTGGAAGGGGGACAAGGACCATAGCTACTTAAAGTTCCCAGAGCTTTGTGGTGGTGGGTCTTTTTAACCCTATACCTGTAGGGATGAATAGGAAAATCCTTAAAAGAATCCACGTACTTAAGTGGATACCTTTTGTCCTCTTTAGCCACCAAAATAAACATAGTGTGACTATAGCAGCAAGGGAGGGAAACAGTTCAGTAATCCTTAAAGCTCTTTCGCAAGAAGCGTTCTGGTTCAGCTTGCTGCCGGAAGTGTTCTAGTAGCCGGTGCCGAAAGTAAACGATGGTACAGCTAGTCTTGATATGAGGACTAGACAGTGATTTTCCCAGGAATCTTCCTGAAAAAGGACCGTGCGTGAAGACGTTTCAGAGTAGGCAGGGGAGGAGCACCTGGTGCTGCCGGAGACCACGATCAGAGCCCCCCTGCACACGGTGTTCCAGATTTGGGAAATCGTCAGAGTCACTTTCAATTTTTCTGCAGTAGGAAGTGAATCTAAATTCCCTTTAGAGGATTTGGATTCAGCATGCTTTTACAAAAAATGCAGTAAGTTTGCCTTATTTTCTTTTTTTTTACCTCAAACTGATTAGCATTTTATAAAATATCATTACTTTTCTCTAGAGCCACTGTTTTAGAACTTGTGCCATTAAATGAACATTTTACAGCATTTGAAACAACAAAAGGCAAAGGAGTCTAATTTCCATGAAGAGAAAATGAAAATGTGACATCATTTTGCGTTAGAAAACTTCTTACTGTCAAGGCGCCTGGCTGGCTAAGTCAGTGGAGCACGTGACTCTTGATCTCAGGGTCATGGGTTCGGGCCCCACATTGGGGGTAGAGATTACTTAAAAATAAAATCTTCAAGATAAAGTAAAAAGAAAGAAAGAAAACTTACTCTCATAGAGATAAACTTAGTAGCTTAGTGAAGCTTCTTTTACAGAGAAGCTCAGAAAATATATTTGCTTTGAAATGTTTTTCTTTTTCTTTTTCTTTTTCTTTTTTTTTAATTTTTTTTAACGTTTATTTATTTTTGAGACAGAGAGAGACAGAGCATGAACAGGGGAGGAGCAGAGAGAGAGGGAGACACAGAATCTGAAACAGGCTCCAGGCTCTGAGCTGTCAGCACAGAGCCCGACGCGGGGCTCGAACTCACAGACCGTGAGATCATGACCTGAGCCGAAGTCGGGCACTTAACCGACCAAGCCACCCAGGCGCCCCATGTTTTTCTTTTTAAAGTTAAGTCTTGGGGTGCCTGGGTGGCTCAGTCGCTTGAGCATCTGACTTTTGATTTTGGCTCAGCTCATGATCCCAGGGTTGTAGAATCGAGTCCCACGTCAGGCTCCATGCTTAGATTCTTAAGATTCTCTCTGTCTCCCTCTGCCCCTCTCCCTTGCTCATGCTCTCTCTCTTTCTCAAAAAATTAATCAATTGATTAAAAAAATTAAGTCTTGGGAGATCACTCTCTTGCTTAGAATCTATTTGCATCTGTAAAGGAGAAATTCATGTCTCAAATCCTACTCGTTAGGCATGGAGGTTTTCTCCTGGTTCTGTCCTCTCAGGACTCACAGCCCTGACTCAGCTTCGCGGCCTAATTCTCATCACTGCTTACCCTGCTGCATCCTCTCTGCCCACTTTATAAATTTTTTTATGTTTTATTTTTTATATTTGAGAGAGAGCCAGAGAGCGAGTAGGGGAGGGGCAGAGAGACAGAGACAGAATCTGAAGCAGGCTCCAGGCTCTGAGCTGTCCACACAGAGCCCAATGCAGGGCTTGAACTCACAAACCATGAGATCATGACCTGAGCTGAAGTCGGACCCTTAACCAACTGAGCCACCCAGGCACCCCAGTCTGCCCGCTTTATAAAAACATTACCTGGTACTTGCTCAGAAGTTGACCTGATTCAACCTCTTTGTGTAATATAACCTAATCAGAATTTATCTGCAGAACTATAATGTGTAAAAAACTTATTAGTATTGCTTTGATAATAAACCACCTTGCAAAATATTTCTTCCAGATTGTCCTAGAAAGTTACTAGCCCAGGACCACAGGTGTCCACTAATAAATGACAATGTTATTATTAACCTAGGGAGGGCACAGAACATCTCAAATTTGGTTAATCTAAAATAGAAAATATGAAACGTGATGTTTATCTCCATCTGTCAAATTGTTAAACACATATCAGGTCTGAGGTGCTGCCTTTGGGGCATTTCTCCCTCATGCTGACAGGCTCATGAGAGCATATCCAGTCCATAGAAATGTTAAAATTCCTTGCTGACCGATATGACCGTTGAAGAAAGTGCCATTTTAGACCTAAAAATTAAAGCATAGTGACCAAACAGGTTTATTAGTTTGACTGCTAACTCGCTTGAGCACATCACTGAACCTCCATGGGCCTCCATTTGGGCATCTGTTAAAGGCAGATGGCAGTGGCTCCTCTTTGGGCACAGGTGACCAAGAACGGCTACTTCAAGCAGGTGACAGCTGACAGTAATAAGAGAGGTGATTCAGTTCCGATGTCCCAGCCAGATTTCGAGGTTTCATGGAGTCTTCTCAGGGCCTTGCAGGGTCTTATAGAAGACCTCAGGAGGTGGTGGGGGGGGGTGGGGGGTGGAGCGGGGCAGGAAGAGAAGGCCCAGGCCAGAGAGGGCAGCTGTGGCCCCGCACGGTCACAGCCAGAAGGGGCAACCAGTTAGAGCTCTTCCTAAACTTCCCTATGAAACAACTCCCATGTGAATTCTGACAGAGCAATCAGGGCCAAAGCAAACGACACATCAGAGGACTTGGGCTCATTTCCAGAACCGTAAATTTTCATTTTCCCCTTGTGTTATTTGATGGGAGTTCTTAATGGAAATAGTCTTCCCTGGGGCTTTCCTTGACGTCAGAGTCTGTTTTTCTGGTAGAAACTTCTAAAATTACCAGATTTAATGTGCTTGGCTCCCTTCGAAATACCTAACACAGCCACTCCACCTTCCTTCCTCTTGAAAATGGGGGCCCGCCCTCTGTTTCGCTGCTGTTGTCTAGGGGAAGGCTGCTGCCTGACTCAAGAAATGTGCTAGAATTGTTGTTTGTACTTGTTCTTTTGAAAGCTCAGTTTCCTTTTGGGCAAGGTTGATATTTTCAACAGCCTCGGTGATTTTATCTGGAGGCCACAGGAAAAGGACACTCTCCCATCTAGCTTATGTAGAGGGGCCGCACAGAGATGTCACTTTGAAAGATGGGTGGCGGGGGACGCCTGGGTGGCTTAGTCATTTAAGCATCTGACTTCAGCTCAGGTCACGATCTTCTGGTTCATGAGTTCAAGTTCCATGTCTGGCTCTGTGCTGACAGCTCAGAGCCTGGAGCCTGCTTCAGATTCTGTGTCTCCCTCTCTCTCTGCCCCTCTCCCGCTCGTGCTCTGTCTCTCTCTCAAAAATAAATAAACATAAAAATTTTTTAAAAACAAGAAAGACGTGCAGGGTATCTTTAGATTTTTGGGCTCTGCCTTGGAAAGACCTTTGGCCTGTCAGGTGCATTCTTGAGCTGGCGTGTTAGTTTGTACTCTGCCCTCACACTTTCCTCCACCCTGCCTAAAAAACGTAACAACAACGTTTTCGGTCTTTCTTGATTCCAGATCAGATTGATGAAAATCTCAAGCTGGCTTTGCAACAGGACCTGACCTCCATGGCCCCCGGGCTCGTCATCCAAGTAAGCATGGCCACTGTGGGACACCCCCTGGTAAAGGTGTATCCCCCGCTCTTCCAAGGGATGTCCTTCTCGTGCAAGCAGATGAAGGGCTAGTGGCAGCTGCTCGGGTCCCTCACCACCCTCACCTTCCCATCAGGTGCTATTTTTATCCTTCCCCAGGCTGTGCGGGTGACAAAGCCCAATATACCCGAGGCGATCCGCAGAAACTACGAGTTGATGTGAGTATTCCCTCTGCCCAACCTGTACCCCCCACTCTGTCCCACACCCCTCACCTCATCCCATCCCAGAGTTAACCGAAGCCGTGCCACGCGTTTCTTCCCCTCCTTGAGTATTCGGCACAGCCCGCTGCACCGTAAGATGGGGCAGGTGTGTCGCAACAGTCACCTGGGCTCCGGAGAAGCCCTTTCAAGCAGCGATGCTTTGAAAAGGGCCAGGGGGCATTGTTTGTGCTTCATGGCTCGTGCCAAAGAAGATGGGAGGGAGAGGCGGTTCAGTGGGCAGGCAGGTGCATTTTACCTAAGTAAGTTATGCTTTACTTCTCACAAATGAGTTATTTGGGAGGAGAAAGAGAGCCGCGTTACTGCCTGCAACAGATCTGCTCTTACTTGGGACAGGGAACAGCCTTCCAGGCGAGAGTGAGAAAGCCAGGTTTGCCTCTCCTCAGCAGAAGTTTGGTTCCTCCAGGGGACAGTGAAGTTCCTCGGAAGCGTTTTCAGCAGCCGCCTCACGGCTGCATACCGTTCTTCCCTTCAGGGAAAGCGAGAAGACAAAGCTGCTCATTGCAGCCCAGAAACAGAAGGTGGTGGAGAAGGAAGCTGAGACAGAGCGCAAGAAGGCCCTGATCGGTCTGGATGTGGTTCTGGGATCCCCTCTCAGGGCGGAAGGGCTGGGGAAGGCGGGCAGATGGCGAGGAAGCCTCGGGCACGGTTAGGTCACACGGTCCTGCAAACCCTGGCCGCGCACAGGAGCGGCACTTGTACTCCCGGAAGCGACGCTGAAATTGTCAGATGGTGGGCAGGGCCGGTGAGCTTTGAGTCTCCCCCTATCTCTGAAATGAAAGGATCCCTTCCTAGTTAATTCTTAATCGATAACAGTAGTAGCTAATACTTCTCAAGCACCTACCATGAGCCGTGCACTTTTCTAAGCACTTACATGTGACTCGTCTCCTCACAAGCACGAAGGGACTAATTAACGTGCCCAGTGTCATATGGCAAGTAAGTGGTGGAAATGGGGTTCACCCGCAGAGACCCTAGCCAGAACCCAGCTCCTAACCTCTGCACTAGATCATCAACGACTACTGACTGCTTCCCAGAGTCAAGTGGCAGGAAGAACCTTTTTAGACACTACCGTATTCCTTAAAATACTCTTTTGGGAGAAACACCCCTGTGACTTAGGAGAGAGGTTGGGACTCATTCCTCGCTTTCGTGGGAGGGCCCAGGTCTCCCGGCTGACTGTCTCGTGCCGATGTCGGGGTACTGCACTCACGGGTGCAGTCCACACGTGCCCGCCGTGGTCACCCTCTGGGGCCCTCCCTCTGAACACATCCGCATCCCCGCATCAGGGACTCTGATCACAGGAAGGGTGGGATTTAGTCTAGCCTGTGAGATATCCATAGTGCTCTAAGCCTTTTCTCAACATCGTCACTACAGAGGCAGAAAAAGTGGCTCAGGTGGCAGAAATCACCTATGGGCAGAAGGTGATGGAGAAGGAGACCGAGAAAAAGATTTCGGAAATTGAAGGTGAGCAAAGCTGAAATGAGTGCCTGAGTTTTCCTCACGCCCCACTGTGTGGCTGGGTGGGGGTAGGGTCGGGAGAGCCCTTTCCTTGGCTCTTTAACCTTTGTTCTAAGATGTCCTGATTCCTCTGTGCTTTGACTCAAGTTTGGGGGAGATTTGGGCCAGGCTGGCATACGTTTTCCACTTCAGAGAGCGTTCATTCATTCAACAAATGTCCATGTAGTGCTGTTAGGTGCTCTCGGGTGAGGAGTAAGAAAAAGGGAAATTGTGTAAATCCCTGCTGTCTGGCAAGGGTCTCAGTGGCAGTGAACTCAGAGGCTAGGCAGAACAGCCCCTCCTTGTGCCGTGCCTACCCCCCACAGCTGTGGCTTCTAAGTCTGTTCTCAGTATCCCTATGGTAGATACTGAGGCAGGTCTGAAAAAGACACCTTTTCGGTACCAACAACACTGGAGCTGGAGAAAAGTGTTTTCTTGACTGGCTTTTCTGAATATTATTCACCTTCAGTTCCCTGCCCCTAAGCCCTCAGCTCATCCCCACCACCTGCCCTTTCCTTCACGTGGTGCCTTATATCAAGCAAATTCTAGGACAAAAATAGGACCTCGAGGCCCAGCTTCGAAATGCCATGTCAACTTGTACTCACCATGGGGCTCTCAGGCTTTGCAGGGGCCCAGTGAGGAGCCAGCTGGGATTTTACAGGCCAGCAGTTCCTTGTTAGGGAGCTCTCTGCAAAACAACGCATTTTTATTTCTTATAAAAACATGTCATCAGGTGCTAAGACCACTTGAGTGGGCCCCATGCAGCCAGCGCCCCTGCCAGACTGCGCGCTCTTTCCGCCCGGGGCCGTGCTGGGGGTGTGCAGTAAGAACCCACCCACAGGCTGACCTTTCTTCCAGGCTTTTTGCTACAGATATTACATGAGGCTGGCCGCATTCCCAAGGCAAGGGAGCAAGCATCAAAAGTTTTGCATCAGCTTGACAGAAAGCTGGTCTCAGCAGATTAAGGAAGTGTTTTGCTTGCATGGTGGAAGTTTAAGTAGGTCTTCATCCAAACAGGTGTTAGTCTGGACCATGGCGTGGACTTCTCTTGTTGGGAGTTGTGCCAGCTTAACCAGTGTTAACTAGAATCTTTTTGAAATGATCAGTGGAAATAAAAGAGAAATGAAGGTGGAGAGGGACCGAGCTGTTTCATGTTCGTGGCATCCAGGTTTAGGGGGAGCCACTTCTGGCTGTCTTTAGAGCCTTCTTTGGGCTCCTCGCGCTCTTGCTGTGCAGCACAAGAGGGGTGAAGTGGCGCCCCACCCCTGTCTTCCCAGACGCGGAGCGACAAAGACTCAGCCTGTGGACACAGGAAGTGTCCCTTGGCAGCACTTTTCCCGAGACTGCCTTCGTAAGCGTCACTGGGCATAGCAACAGACGTGCTCAGAGTTGGTCCCCACTACCCGGAGATGCCTTCAAAGCATTTTTCACCCATGGTTGATTTTCACAACGACTTGTGAAGTAGGAAAAAATGCCTCTTTCCACCATTTCACGGAAGAGGAAACCAAACCACAGAGAGAAAAGAGCAGTCTCCCAAGGTCACAGAGGCAACCAGGGGAACGTCACAGGGCCCAGGGTTCTGGTAACGTCTACACTGCAGTTCACTGCGTTCTTGCCCTCAGATGCTGCCTTTCTGGCCCGGGAGAAGGCAAAGGCTGATGCTGAGTGCTACACCGCTATGAAAATCGCTGAAGCAAACAAGGTAAAGCCCAATGCACCTGGTGACAAGAGGGTATATTTGGCTTTGGGCTGATGTGGTTTGAGAGCTCGTGATGTTGGATGGCCACTGCCACCAAAGCCCCTCCTAGCCAGACGTGCTGGCTGCTGTGCTGTGTGGGCCTGGTGCTCCCCTGTTCCTTAGCCGTGCCTCAATAGAAGCTCAGTTGTTGTGCTAAACCCAGAAACTCCCTAAAACTCCCTTGCAGCTCTGACCTTGGAAATCAGTACCCGTTACTAACAGAACAGTGAGACCAGGAAGGGGTAGGGAAGGCACATTTCTTCGACAAAGACCCTCTCCTTGTGAAAAGTGAAGGGTGCCACCCAGAGTTTTCTCGAATCTGCCTCCACATAGCCGCCTTTCCTTTTTTCTTACAGCTGAAGCTGACCCCTGAGTATTTGCAGCTGATGAAGTACAAAGCCATTGCTTCCAACAGCAAGATTTACTTTGGCAAAGACATCCCGAACATGTTCATGGACTCCGCAGGCGGTCTGGGCAAGCAGTTCGAGGGGCTAGCTGACAAGCTGAGTTTCGATGATGACCCCTTGGAAGCAGACCCTGAGGAGAATTGAAATTTTTGTATACGACCTCAAATGACACTTAAAAGAGATCTTTATTTTTGAATGATGAACCAGGATGCTCCTCCCTCCCACATTACCTGCCTTGACTCTCTCCCACATTCGGTGGTGAAAAAAAAGAAGAAATGGATTTAAATAGATCCCCTCCCTGGGAAGGACGGGAAGGGGTTGATGATTTGGGGTTTTATTCAGGTAAGTGGGTCAGATGACTTCTGTTAAGACTGGGAAACCATGGCTTTGACCTTTGCCCTCTAGACACTAATTTTAGCCCTTTGAAGCAGATTTAAGGAGGGACTCAGTCATTACAGAGTGGGAGAAACGTAGGGTGTTGCCTCCAGGTGATCTGATTTCCCTTATTTGGGAAAACGGGGTCCAGTTTTCTCGCCCCTGCCTCCAAGGTGGGTGACACCTGGGGGTGAGGCCCAGCAACTGAGCAAATGTGTGCTTTTGAGTTTGCCAGCAGAGCTGCGGGGGGACAGCTGCAGGGGATGTTGGGCTTTGCTGGCATTTCTCTCGGGGCGTCTGTGAGTCACGTTGGCACGCTTTTCCGGAGTCCTCTTAAGGAAGAACCTGAGCTGTCGGCTCTGCAGACCTTTCTGTCCACTGCCCTCCTTGCCCCAGGGCTCAAAGAGCGGTGGTTTCCAACTACATTCCAGAGTCAGGCTTTGGGCACCACCACACGCTTCTTTTTAAAACTTTTCACGTGTTCTGTGATTTGGTTTTTTCCTCTCACGTCTGTTCATTGATTCCACTCGGCATCAGGAAGACAGGAACAAACAACCCAAATGTCTTAATAGCTGCTGACGTGGGGTCGTCATCTCTCTCAGCCACCGTGGCACCTGCTTGGCAAACTGCATATGTTCCTTGAGATCACGTGTCTTTTCTATTGTGGGGATTCTACCTTGAAGAGCTCCTGTGGGGGAGGAGGACGGTCCCCTGGAAGATCTCCTAGTCATAATGCTTCTAGCTTGTGCTGGCATTAGTCTGATGCAGCGATAAAAAGGGAGCCCATTCTCTAAGTAGCACGTGTTTTTAAATCTAGGGCACTGACAGCCACACAGGGGTCAGACTGAGTGCTAAATCTCCAGAGACAGTGATGGGGGTACATGCCCGAGGCCCTGCCCCGGCCCCTGGGTTGGAAGGGCTGCATCAAAATCTGTTAAAATGTTTGAGTTTGGTTTTAGTTTTTGTTTTTCCATTTCTAAGTAGGAAAAATTTGAGTCACTCTGGGAGATTTGGGATGGAGGAGAACAAACATGAAAGAAAGGTTTTCTTCTATCCTGAAACGGGGGGTGGGGTGGCGTTCAGCTTATGTAGCCCACGAGTCGTGCACCAGATTGTTAGGTTGTCTCGAGTTAACTTGCAAACACGTTGGTATTCTCCATGACAAGCTCTGGTTGAGGATTCAGCCTTGCTATTAGCC